ACAGCGCCCGCGTGGGCCTCGTGCTACAGTTCGGACTCGATTTGTGTCACGGTTCTTCATCTGAACCAAAGAGTCCAAATCTGGCAAATCGTTTTGAGAAACAGATTTTTGAAAAAGTAGTGCCAAACATGGACTGCTTTGCCAGATACAGAGTCGCCACCTAAATATTTTTTAATGGGGAAATTTAGGAAACCCTGACTCGGTGCCGAAGGCCACATGTCCGTCATCACCGGAGTTGTCTCAGCTCGGGAGCTAGGGTACGATTGGGTAAGGTCAGCTATGAGCACCCCCTCTCGCCCGATCCAAAGATCGGCTTCTACTAACCGTGATATCCGTTTTTGAAAACGTTATGTGTTCTTATTCCAGTTATTAGCCTAGCATTACTATATTATGCGCATAGCAAACAAGTATAGACTAGATTGCCTAATTCGGAAATAAACATTGTATATCCGTTTGTTTTGGAAAAATGTTTTGGAATTTGCTACTCGCAAGTAGGCTAAAATACGGATTTCAACGAGTTTTTCCAACTCAGACAATCCAACCTTCAACCACAGGCATTCAGGCAATTTAACACATAAGCATCTAGCCACATAGTAAACATGCTGTCATGATAGCATTCAGACTCATGCGAGATGCTAAAGCATAAATACTTACATCGTACTCCGTGCCAAAACAATAAACTAGTTAGCAAACATGCATGTCCTAGTTCATGTTAAAAATGGCTAATGCAACACATACAGGATGCAATTAGATAGGCTCGGCTAAGCCTAAACATGGCATGTGAAATGCGATCGATTGATGCACGTATTCAATTTGGAATTGAAATACAAATGCAGTTAGCATGATGTACCGAGCCTAATGCATGCAATACAAATGCATGAATGTACGCATGGATAGCATAAAGTATGCTAAATCAAACGTGTCCTATTACTAACCATCAAAGCAGGTAAGTAAAATGGAAGAAAGAAGTGGGGGTTGGAAGACATGCACACACACGCACCCACACTTATTACAGATTTGCCCTCGCTCGGAGGGACCAAATAAATAATACAAATTAATTAACTATTCTAGCTAATTAAATATTACAAATTTCCTAATCAGTTAACAAACTAATTTAAGCTAGGAAAACAGATAAACCGCCCCGGGAGAAGGGCTCGATGCAATGCATGCTCGGTCCTGCTCGGAAATGCACCGCCGTGTGTAGGCTGCCTCTGTTTTCCTTCCTTTACTCCTCTGGAGGCTGCCAAAACCTCAGGATTGATTCCTTGGACATAGAGGGACACCACCGGCTAAATGGGATTGCCACCGGCAGTAGCATATGACCACCGGCCATTGGTGAAGCTATCGGCAGAGAAAGGATTGCCGATCGGCACTTACCACTGCCGGTCGGCAGAGTGTTCCTGCAGAATCTGCAATTGACAGCAACAGAGGGCAAGGCAAAGCATGGCAGCACAA